ACTTGACCAACACTGATTATAAAGCACTTATGATTCTCTAATATAATGAAGTATTTAATACTGTAAGTAATTCTGGGTGTTTATTTGCAGTACTTAGCAAGAGCATTGACTTTAATTGTGTCTCGTATGGGACATAAAATTGCAATGCTGCTGCTTTTCCAAGTCGGTGAATAGTGAATGGCAAAAACAGTTCACATTCCTAAAATCTATTATTATTTTTGATTTGATTAAACTTTATTTATATACAACCAAATCACAACAGCAGTTGCCACAAGGTGCCTTATATTGTAAGCTAAAGACCTCTGCAATAATACAAAGGAAACCCCAATAATGAGATCACCGCCTGTGAGCAGCAGTTGATGGTAGTGGGACAGAAAAACTCCCTTGTAACAGGGAGTTTTTCTCTTCTCTTTTAACGTTAGAATAAGGATTGGGTTAACCAAACAAACACATGTACATGTATTTTGCCACTCCCCCTAAATACAGAGTGGAGTAGGGAATAGCCTCTCTATGGGAGAAAAAAAAACACCCTGTAGCCAAAGTCTGAAAACTGCTCATACAAACTTCATCAACTTTGGCACTAGAGTCCCCAGCAACAAATTTTCCAAATTGAAGAGGATTATATGAACGGTTATTGAGATAAGTGAACAAAGAGATTTCTGAAATTACTACTCACGTGTGGGCCCACAGTGGGTAGCTGTGGATGAACTGTGGGGCTATGTGGGCAGCACAAAAACCACACTTATTCCACACAGCGCTCAAGGGGGGGTGCCTACACAGCCCCCACAGCAGTTTTGTCCTTTTGGACCACACACTTCTAGAAAACAGCAGAACATGGGCCTTCTTACAGAAAACTCATGTGGGGCCCATGTTGGCCCATATGGGGTACATAGAAGTTCTGACCCTCTGGACCTCCAAATCTCACTTTGCCCACACTGGGCAGCACACCATGCTGGCACTCTGTTGATACGCAGACACATATGTCACCTGCCTAAACTGCCTTTGTGCAAGTTCCACTAGTAGTTTCTCCAAAACTACATTTTGTCACAGTAACACAAAACAGCTGATCAACAGAAATTTGTGGATGCTGAGAATCGTGGATGAGAAAGTGTATGAAAATAAGCAGAAATTCTTAAGTGCAAGCCTTGACTGATGAATTTCTGATTCAATTTCACAGACAGTTGTCATCAGGTTTAATGCAGTGTGTTGAACTTAAAGCAGAGCCTAAGCTGCTGCATTGAAAATCCCCACATGTGCAAAGGTTGAGTAAACACTTGAAGCACTAATTGCTATGTTTGGATACAACCTAATTGACACTTTGATTACCTTAAAATGCCACCATATGTTTATATTTGAGTCAATTATGCTTGCTGTGCTCTTTTACACTTAATAAAAACGCATCAGACATGTTTAATGGTTTGACAGCGACTTCATTAAAACCGATCCATGCTCTTGGCGTAGCACAACACAGCACATCATATCTGTGGAAGGTCTGAGTGTGCTTTGGGACCCGAGGACTTGATTTGAGCTACATTTCACTGCAGTGCTCCTCATCCAACACAGAGTTTTGTATTCATGACACAGCCTGAGCACAGGGCAGAGAGTTCCAACTCATATCTTACACCTACTCTGGCTGTTTTTCTGTTTCTGTCGCACTTTTCCTGCAGATCAGCTTTCTGCCTTTCTGGTGGCTTACTCTCTGAAAAATCTGTTTCCATTTGCTTAACACCTGTAGTTTTTAAAGTCGCTGCTGCTCTTTTACAATTTATATTCGTCTCATGCCACAGCAGAACAAGAAGATTGACGCCAGGCACAATTCTGTGCAGGTTTATAAAATTGACACACCAAATTATGCAATAATTATAAAAATATTCTAACTCACAATCTTATCATTTGATTTAATTTGAGGCGAACTGACCTCAACCTTGATTTCTCTTCTTTTTGCTTTTTTCGGTCTGTGTGTAGGCTTGAATCTAAGCATGGTTTGTTCTATAGCCTCTAACTGTCCATGACCTAAAAAGCTTACTAATTGCAGGTGAGGGAGGACAGAGCAGCTGTTCCCCCAGATCTGCTTCCCTTACAATAATCAGCTACCGTGCCTCTGAGCTCATCTGCGTCACCACCAAATTTTTTTGGTTGTTTGTCTTTTATTTCATTATCTTCCATTTGAGGTGCCATTTGTTATAATAGCAGTCATTGCATTTGCATTCTTAGATAATTAAGGTAACCTCCGGGCAGTATTGTAAGAATTGTAATATTACATTTGAGATAACCATTAACATTCATAACTTCCCCCCATTTTGTTGTACAAAGCAGTCCAATAGATGTTTTGTAAATCCTTACCAGAGTTGCACAAATAGTAAAATGGCCAACAAATACTAGCTTAAAGTCCTCAGGCGAAAACAAAACAAAACAGTCATTGGTAGCAATGTGTGAAACTGGCAGTCGTCTCATATCACAATAAAATTGCGAGCTCCCAGCCAGTAAGAGTGCAATACTGTGGAAAAAAATTCAACCAACCCTCAAACCAAGTTATTTTGTTCTTGAAACAGACCTGAAAAATAACAAAGTTCTCAATTGAGCAAAGCGAATAAAGGTAGGTAGTAGTAGGTTCAAAGGTAAAGATTTAAGAGGCCTGACACAAGACCTCATTTGATCCATCTACTGTCCACTGAAGCCTCATCAGAAATGGTCTCAGTGGAAGGTTAACTGTCAAGGAGCCATTATCAATATCAGTGGGGCAACAGTGATTGTCTACAGCCATCTGTAAAACATGGCAAAGGCTCTGTCATGGTTTGGGGCTGCATTTCAGCCATTGGTGTTGAGGATCTCGTCAAGATGAATAGAATTATAAATGCAGAAATGTACTGTCAGATTTTGAGCCACCATGCAGTTCCATCTGGAAAGTATCTGACTGGCAGCAGCCTCATTTCTCCCCACAACATGATCAAAAACACACTGGCAGTGCTTTAAAAGCACACCAGGACAGAAAAACACTCTCAGTCAGCCATGGATTGGCCTCTCCAGAGCCTGGACCTCAACATTATTTTAAAATTATTGTGCAATCATCTTGACAGACAACAGAACGAAAGACAGCCAACATCTGAAGAAGAGCTCTGAATGCCCTTAAAGAAGCTTAGAGAACTATTCCTGAATTCTACTTAAAGAAGGAAAAGGTGGTTATACCAGATACTGGCTTTGTGCAAACTCTAGAGAGCAGATTCGAAAGATGGCTGAGTGACAGATGAGGGAATGATGTAAAGTCTGCCTGCTCCTAGTCAAAAAAAACCCTTCCTCTAAGCATTTGATTATAGGGGTTGTTTCAGGGGTTGTTGGCTTTCTCCCTCTAATATTAAAGGGTCTTTACCGTACAGTATAAAGTACCTTGATGGCTTTTGTTGTGGAATGATGCTATAAATATATTTAAAATCTTTCTAGACTCTGTTGTGAATCAACAAAATTTAGCCTCCAATATATTCATGGTGCAAATGCTCTGTGGAAGATTTATGTTCCCTGCACTTCGGCGAGGTCACCAAGTTCAAATTTTGTGATGAAGAAAAATCATTATGTACCTCCGGTCCAGATGGGGGCAGCGTGCTGCTGTTTGAATAGAGCAGAACTGCTACTCCACTCCCTTTACTCTTTCCTCCTTCCCTCCCTCCCCCACTCGCTCACTGCTCTTCAGTGATCTCAGCAGTACTGCAGAGAGACATGCCAGCCACTTTGATCATCACACCGGGGGAGGAGAGAGAGTGGGACGGAGGAAAGAGAGGGACAGACAGCGCATGATGCAGACTTTCATGCAACATGCAGGACATCGAGGCTGATTTAAGAATTTGAGATTTATTCCAGAGCTCATGGAAATGGCAGGACAGACAGCTGATGAAGAGCTGACAGCAACAGAGAAAAAAGTGAAAGAATGACAGAAAGAGGGATGCTGAAGAGTGCTGTGAATGAGTGACTAAGAAGGCAAAGTCAAAGTGAATGAATGAAAGTGACCGAGTATCACCTGAGCCACTGTGAGCCAAACTGCTAGGATTGGCTGTTCCAGCTGAACCAGCTTTAACCATTTGGAAGTGTTTCACTCATGGCAGTAGGATCTCATCTAAATGTAGAGGCACTCCCTACAGTTTTCAGAACAATAAATGTCAGATTTAATTAGCTGATTTTATTTAGATTAGAGTTAGTGGCCCAACAGTTACGTGACACACCAGAGTGTAACGAAGCGGCCATTTGCCCACCTTTGCATTGCTCTGTACCTTATCAAAGAACGTGACATTTCATCTAATGCTTAAACAAGCGGTGAATATCAAATCTATGAAGTGTTTTTTAGATGTTACATCTTAGATTTATAAGTCATTTGTGGGAAAGGACACATTAGCAATGTCCTTCATTAGCAGTACAGCTAACATCAGTGATGCATCTATAATGTCAAGTAAGTAAATAACACATCCTTGAACATTAATGTTCTCATCTATCACATACTTAAATACCACATCATGAAAAAACAAAACTTCTGGGCTCATTTTCTTTTTAGCTCTTCTGGCTGAAAGACTCATGCGTTGGCGAGGCATCCGTGCAAACTTCCACAGAAGGATCACCAGTGCTGGGCATAATGTGTTCCAAAGTAATGCATTACTGTAGTCCCAAAATATTTTTCAGTAATGCAGTAATGTAACGTTAGTGGATTACTGTTAGTGTACTAAATGTATTAATATTTATTAATTACGTTATGGTTACAGTTATGCATTACAAAGGTTATTTACACACCATGGCTACAAGGGAAATAAATCAAACAAAAATGCAGAAACAACTGTATCTGCTTAGTCAGCATGCTAACACAAAGCTAGCCATAAACCCAGAGTGATGATAAAGCTGAGTGCATGCTGACCCCCAGCCCAGCAGCCAGATCTTCAACAGCAGTTGGGCTTGTAGTCTCGGTTTCTACATGTTCATGTTTCACGTTCAGGTTAGATCAGATATAATACAACAAAGACTCATTCAGTTCCCTACGGGGGGTTCAATTTTTATTTGTCATCAGGACTTGATGCATCCAAGTTCAGAATCATTCAGTTTTGGCACCTTGAAAGACATTATGTTTTTTTGTTTTTTTGTTTTAATTTGTCATTTACAACAACACAAAGCAAAACCAAAGAACAAGAAAATGAGATAAAGAAAGAGACTAAGGCTGTGTGAAAGTCCAAAGTAATGGAGGAAATAAAATTAAATGAAAAGGCAAGATAAGATTCTCTTCTGTTTAAAAAAAAAGAGCCTTGATACGTTTTTCAAAGGTTGTTTTTTTTTTTTTGTTTCAAGCATGATGAGACCCCACCCCAAATAACCCACTCAAAAAGAAAAACAAGATAAAGAAAAGTAGAAATTGACACAGTACTGTAACATTAATTACTACTTTTTTCACTCCCACTGCCCTTACATGGTATCATTGTTCAGTTGTTCAAAACATAGGTTTCTTAAAAGCAGATCGGATGATTTTAGATTAGCATGCATGAAAATTCTTAATTTTTTTTTGGAGTCACTTAGCTTCAGCTCACTCGTAGCCATGTTCTCACACGCACTACTTTGTGTCTTTGGCAGTAGTGACGATTCATTGTCCATAGTCATCTGCAAGTTTGCAGAGAGACCATCCATTACCCAGAGTTCTCTCTTCACTCCACCCCTGTATGGGGAAAAAGCAAGAGTGGCCAACTCACATCTAGCTGACCCTGAACAAAGAAGGCTGCCAGGGTTTTGGCGGAAGGCCAAACGATTTTGTTGTTGTTGTAAAAGAATGTGATAATGTATCTAACGCTAACCAATACAAGTTTATCAAGTAGGCTGAAGCCTTTGCCCGTCAAATGAGCCAGTCACAATGAATCCTCCGCCTTGGTTTAGTTTCCATGACGACTCGGTTTAGTTTCATTGTAGGTTACGTTGTTTCTTTCTTTTTTTTCTTTTTTCTTGATATTTTTTGCTTCAGGGAAGTCGAGTCATGATTTATTAACATATATGTTCATATATTTATATATAATCAATACATATATTAACTTATGTGTTTTTTCTTGGTTTTTTTCTTTTTTTTGCGGCCTGAAATGCTCCCTGCTAAAATCCCGTACCGCAATGGTTCACAGTATTAATGCGAATAAAGAATGAAATCAAGAAGATACAGTAACTAAAGAAAGGAGTAGGGTTTATAAGGGAATTTAGGGTGCGTGTGTTGGGGGGGAGGGGCTTGTGGTATGGTAGTGCGAGGGTTGGTTCATAGGCAGGGCTGTGGGGCCTTTCAATCAGACTGAGGAAGAGTAAAAAATATAAAGTTCGCCTATAAATGGGCAGTTTGGCCCAGCCCACCACTCCACAGTTCCACAGCCCCGAGACAACCACCAACCACCCCAACCCAGCATCATGAATGCCCCCCATCCCCACTCATCTTTCCCCGACCTTCCCCTCAACTCTTTACAAACATGTTCAAAACTTGTTAAACAATGGTTCATGGGAAAATCATGCATGTTTCTTTTTTTTATGCAATTTTACTCCATTTCCTTTCTATTAAACAGAAACTGTGATTATCTGAGGCGCTGTGGAGCTCTCAGAACTTCTCCTCTGTTGCCTACCCCTCGCTCCTCAGTCTTTTGGAGCCCTCTTTCTCTTTCTGTTTCCTTAAGCCACAATCTGTCTTTCCCCCCAGAGTTCCTCTGATTTCTCTTAATGTCTGTGTCATTTTCATACAGGTGTGGTGCGCCGATTGGCGGTGTTGCTATGGCCACCTGAGTCTTTCAGGTCCTTCTGGATGCAGTTGTGGACCTGCAGGAAGTTGTGGTCCCTCTCCGTGGAGTTATAGGTGGCTGTCGGAGTGCCTGTTTGGCCTTTGGGGAGCGTGTACATGGACAGCTCAGTGGAGGGCAGCGTCCCAAAGGCCTTCAGGCCCACTGGCGATGCCTCGCGAGAGTGCGAGGGATCTGTAGAACGAGACGAAGAGCGCGAGCGGCGTCGATAACGGTAGCGGTAGCTTGGGATGCGTGTGATGGCTGCCCCTTGGAGGTAGTCGGCGGCTCGTGCCCCCACACGCAGCTCCCGATGTCGGTCGATGAACATGTGCACAGCCAGCACACCCACCATTTCAGCCATGATGAAGGAGAGGGCGCCAAAGTAGAAGGACCAGCCGTAGGAGTAGCTGTTCTTCTTGGAGTCACTCTTGGAAGGATCCCCAGCATTGGCTGATATGTACACAATGATTCCTATAATGTTGCTCAGGCCTGGGTAAAGAAATGAGGGATGGAGATTAGCTCAAGAGCTAAAATGCAGCCAATCGTAGACAAAGCCACACGTTAAGCACACATTAACCTCAGTATAATGAAATATTCACAGGCGTAACACAATGACCACCACCCTAATATTGTGTTGATCCCCCTTTTGCTGCCAAAACAGTCCTGACCCATTGAGGCATGGACTCCACTAGACCCCTGAAGGTGTGCTGTGGTGTCTGGCACTAAGGTGTTAGCAAAAGATCCTTTAAGTCCTATAAGTTTTAAGGTTGAGCCTCCATGGATGGAACTTGTTTGTCCAGCACATCCATTCAATTCAGAACCTCAAACTTACTGTTGTGCTCCTCAAACAACATCGAATACTGTTTCCATGAAAGTGTGTACATGATCTGAAAATGTTGCCCAAAGCATCACACTGCCTCCGCCCACTTGGCTTCTTCTCATAATGCACTTTAAAGACAAAATGTTCCCTTACTCCCTAATATATCCTACCCACTAACAGCTGCCATGATAAAGAAATAAGCATCATAATTCACTTCACATGTCAGTGGTCATAATGTTATGTCGGTGTATGCAAAGTAAATATGCAAAAACATATATGTTATAAAATCAGGTCAAATTAAGATCATCATATGTCATATTTATATTTTCCTCTTAATAATCTTACCTTCCTCCACACTTTTCACTGTCTGCTCAGACTGACTACATTTTTGTAACTTTTCTCTGTAAGAAGGGCAGCAAGTACTGTATTTAGGACAGCTGGTACCAGCAGCAGCTGAATCGAGTTCAGCATGTACAGTAGGGTCCACAAGTTTTTTGGACTACGCAGCTTTTGTAGTTTTGCCTCTGTACACCACCACTGGGGATTTCAAATCTAACAGTCGACATGTGATTGAAGTGCAGACGTGCAGCTTTAATTTTAGTGGTTTAACAAAAAGGATCACATTAACTGTTTAGGAACTACATTCATTTTTATTCATAGCCCCTATTTTCAGACGTACAAAAGTAATTTGGCAAACCCAAGTGTAGGTCTTTAATACCGAACATTTTCCCTGAGGGGAAAATCAAATCTCTGAAAGCTTAAAATGACTTATTATGATTTGTCATTATTTTGACACATAGTAGTGTTTCACTGAAAGTATAATGATTCAATAGGAAGTCACAGGGCCTAGAATGACATTTATGATTATCATAAGAAACCAACCTTTTCATATTTAATTGAGGCTTTTATGTTGAATTTGTTTACATTTCAACTGCTATTGTTATCCACCAGGAAAGTGGCCAAATAGCTGTCCTTCACATCTGATGGCTGAAGTGGCTGATGAATGAGCATGGCAGAGAACCATAAATATGCCTCAAATAAATTAGTAAATTATCAATGTGCAATGTGCATCTATGCGCAACAGCATTAATATGAGTAGAATCAGTGATACTTGAAAGAAAGCATATTCCCAAAAGTGCAGGATTTTTTTTTCCAAACTGGGGCAGGTTCACTTTTATTTCTTATGTCTTATTTGAATGTTTTCATCTGTGCCTTTGTATTTTACCCTCCTCTTTCTCCCCCCAGCCTCCAATGAGCTTCAACTCACATCCTTTGTTAGGCTCTCTGTTATCTCCCTTTCTGTATTTTCAACATCATACAAGAGGATTCTGGGTGTGTGTGGCCAGAAATAGACACAGACATGGACAGACAGCCAGAGAGACAAAAAAGACGAATACAAAGCTAAACGGTGAAAACAGTTCTGCACAAAGACATAGAGCAGCAGTCCGAGGTGTGAGGACTTTGTAGGCCTGATTGAGATGGATCAGAGAAAAAGTATCAGGGACACCTTATTTTTAGAGTGTAATCCCAGTGGCCTCCTCTTAGCCTAGCAACAGGGTGAGAGAGTCAGACGCAGACAGTGAGAAAGAGAGAGAGAGACAGAACTGCATCTCTCACTTCTGACTTGGAGGGGAACTAGTTATCTAGTGCAGCACAGTAGGCCATGGCCTAGAACCATGCACAGCCACACACACATACACAATCAGAAAAATTCTGTGGCAAAATGGCAACTTGCACTATCTTTGTCTTGTGTCGGATGTGGTGCTGTATAACGCAGTGCAACTGGACTCTAGAGCAGTGCAGACATGTTCTCTGGAGTGACGAATCACACTTCTCCGTCTGGCATTCTGATAGACGAGCATGGGTTTGGCGGTTGTCAGGAGAACGGTGCTTATCTGACTGTATTGTGCCAACTGCAAAGTTTGTTGGAGGGGGGATTATGGTGTTGGGAGTTGGGCTCTGTCCCTTAGTTCCAATGAAAGGAACTCTTAATGCTTCAGCATATCAGGACATTTTGGACAATTTCATGCTGCCAACTTCATGGGAACAGTTTGAGGATGGCTCCTTTCTGTTCTAATATGACTGCACATCAGTGCACAAAGCAAGGTCCAAGAATAAGCACATTTGGTGTGGAAGAACTTGAATGACCTGACCCCAACCCGATAGAACACCTTTGGGGTGATTTAGAGCTTAGACTGTGAGCTAGGGCTTCTTTTCCCACACCAATGTCTGACCTCACAAATGTGCTTCTGGAAGAATTATCAAAAATTCCCATAAACACTCCTAAACCTTGTGGAAAGTTTTCCCAGAAGAGCTGAAGCTGTTATTGCTGCAAAGGGTCAACATCATATTAAACCCTATGAATTTAGAATGGGATGTTACCCAAGTTTAGATGTGCGAACAAATACTTTTGGCCATATATATAAATATGGACATGGTCAAGTTCACACTTAAGTGTTTCAGATCATTAAACAAATTTAAACAGAAGTTTCAAAATGAATGTGTTTATTATTAAGAGGAAAAAATCCAAACCTACTTGGTCCTGTGTGAAAAAGTCATTGCCCCCTAAACCTAATAACTTGTTGGTCCACTCTAAGCAGCAGCAACTGCAATCAAGCATTTGTGATCAAGCATTTGTGATCACTGGCAATGAATCTTTTACAGCCCTGTGGAGGAATTACGGCCCACTCATCTTTGAAGAATCGTTGTAATTCAGCCATTGGAGGGTTTCTGAGCATGAACCACCTTTTTAAGATCATGCCACAGCATCTCAATCTGATTCAGGTAAGGGCAAGGCCACTCCTAATCTTCCTATTGTTTTTCTTAAGCCATTGAGAGGTGGACTAGCCAGTGTGTTTTCACTTTCAATCACTTTCCTAGTAGTAAAGTAAATCATACCACTGTATAATCTATATATCTATTATTTTTCACAGTGGTAACATAAAATCATCAAGTCTAACAGAAACCTTTCTTAATATTTGCTTAATATGCTCCCCTTCCCTTTTCTCCCAGTATATCAGTATAGTTTTTAACTTACGCTGGCTCTTTGGTCAGCTTCATTTTCATCTGCCTCTTCATACATCCACAAAGATTTTACCTCCTCTAACTTGCTTCCTCTTAATGTTTACCTCCATCTCCTCACCCACTTTGACTGTTATATCTCTAAGTCTGCCTGTTTTCCTATTTCCCTTAATACCTGCAGAGACGAAGAGGATGCCGGCGCTGAGGATGATGTTATGCCGTGACTTGTAGAACTCGCTTGCGGCGATGCACAGCCCCCCCATGAAGAGCAGGATCACACTCAGGATGGGGAAGATACTGGAGGCTCGTACAGCACCTGCACACATGCATCAAGGCAAAAAATAGTTACCATAATTGTCATCGGTGGACACGCTAACATTAGTTCCTTGTATGGCACGAGATATGAGCAAATACAAATCTTTTAACCAGAAGCTAACAAAGTATGAACGGTTTCAGAGAAATAGCTGCTTTCATGCTTTGCTTTTGGACTATTAAACCTCAAACAATGATCATCAGTAACAGAAATTTCCCATTTGTGAAGGTAATCTGAATTTCTTCAGTCTCTTTCAGTAGCAATGCTGCACTTGACAGCACAACAGGAAATACTTTTAACAACTTAAACACCTTTTTTATGTAATAAAAACTTCTTCTAGGTCTCGTGTTCTTCAGTGACTTTTTCTAAACACTTCTACACCCAGGTTGCAAGACAGGGACTTCCAGTGTGGAAGGGGTTAAGCACCATATCTGCTATCATCCTGTGAAAATTGAAAACAATTATGCTTAAAGCGGTGTACAACATTTGCTTGCACAAATTTTCAGCAGTAGGCCAAATTACCACTTTGGAGCGCCTCGGTACAACTAATCCTTGATATGATCCTAAAGAGGGATCTTTTATTGCCCTGTATATAATATTATTGTTATTACTTTGTTTAACTTCCTTGCCACTTTTCCTCCTTTTCTATCTGTATCAGATCCTCCAATGGGCATCGTGTCTGTCTCCCTCCATGAAACCCCTCGTCATCCCTTTATCGCCCCATCTCTCTGTATGTGTCTGTCCTCATCATCTGTCTGTTTGCCATCTGCGTTGCTGATTTCCTGATCGGCCTCAGGGTTGTCATGGCATTGCTGTGGTCATGGAGCCGGTTTCTGAGGAGACCAGTGTCACGATTCTGAAATTTTGATTGTATTTCAGCAAGTTCATTCAGGTTATTTCCTTTTCCCTTGCAGAAAGTGTGCCAATATTCTAAGCTCTGGTTTTCAATGAATCTAGCATTAAAATCCAGATGTGCAAGACTCTGTGAAGCAAAGACTATTCTTATGCTTCTTGTGAAACTACTAACAAAAGTTTTTATTGTAAACAGCTGCAATTTTGCAGACCTTTGACCTGACTTTACATCCTATGTCTCTCGAAATTATGGTCACAAAGCAAAGGCAAAACAATGCTGGCTGTAATAAACCAGAGTTTGCCTCCATTGCTTTGCTCAAAGGTCCTTAAAATGAACAAAGAGCAGGTCTTGTCCCTGGTATTGTTTCTAATGTCAGTAGCTCCCATATTGGTTTTCTTTTCCCTCCCTCATTTGGTTTTTAATCCTGCATTTCTCTCTCCCTCCAACTCTCTATTGCAGCTGCTCTCTGACCGTTTCATCCACTGAAGCAGATCAAATATTAAGGTGACCTCAGAGTTGGAACTGCACCAAGATTCCCCTCCTCCTCTTCCTCCTACTCTTCTCCCTCCTATTTGTTTTAACCCCATCACCTCTTCTTCATGTGCTGTCAGTGCAAATCGTCTTCAAGGTGGAAATCCTTCATAACAGGTGCACACTGTACGTACACAAAGACACACACATATTCAAAGAATAGGCAAAGTTGCCTTCTGTCACATTCACTCACAGTCATGTAAACATGACTTCAGAGGATGTTACACTGAGTTGCACTTCTGGAGAATCAGTCCAGCATTAACTACTACTAACTACTACTACTAACTACTGCCTGCCCAAGACCCCAGTCACACAGGCCTAGAGACAGGTGGTTGCTAGGGAACAAAATGAGTATTCCCTGACTGGTTGTGAGTGGTTGCTGGGTGTCACTCTGAAATCAATTGCTAAAGCTCCAGTCTTGCAGGTCAACAGATCGGTGACCTGCTGGTAATGACCGGTTACTAGGGAAAAATATATATTCTCCAACCAGTTGGCAAGTGGTTGCTGGAGGTTGCTGATAGTCATTAGTAGAAATTTGTCAAAGAAGTATACAATTCTGCACTGATAATTTTAACAGCTTTGGTCACTGGGACATTGCCACAACTGCAACTATGTTTCTGTAGACACAAACAACTATTCGATAAGTGACAATGCAACTTTAAAAACGCAAGAAACAGAGAATTTTTGCCTTCAAAGTAAAAACTGTGCCTCTAAAAGAGTTAGGCTGTGTTTGCAAACGAGTTGGCATCTTCCATGCAAATATGGGCCCCTGCAGCAATCTCTTAGCAGCACTCAGCGGCAACCAGCAACCTCCACCAAACATTTGCCAACTGATTTGGCAATATGGATTTTTCCATAGTGAATGGATGCTGCTAGGGAGTTGCCAACTAGTCACTAAGGGTTACGGCTGTGTCACAGTAATCTTTACAGTGACAACATGAGTAATACCTATACCACACACACGATTTTGCTTTTGCTGTGAGGACACTTGTTGGCACAATGCGTTCCCTTAGCTCCTCGGTCACCGATAGAGGGACCAGACCACAGTCCGGATTCCGACATAGACCTATTGCTAAATTTTGACAGACTGTTTCTATTTCACTCTGCACAACTTTTCTCATCTTTACAGTAGGGTTTTTTAATCTGTTCAGCCTTTTCTTTGTCTTTACAGGAGTCAGTATATGTACAAATCATTCAGAGCACGTGTGAAAACAGACTACTGCAAGAAGCTGAGATGCAGAAGTCCAAAGACAGAAGAACCCACTACTAAAGAAAAACAACAAGCAGCAGAGATTTGTTTGGGCCAAGGATCACAAGAAATGGACATTAGACCAGTGGAAATCTGTGCTTTGGTCTGATGAGTCCATATTTGAGATCTTTGGCTCCACCCGCCGTGAATGGATGGCCTCTACATGCATGGTTCCCACTGTGAAGCATGGAGGGGGAGGTGTGTTGATGTGGGGGTGCTTTGCTGGTGACAGTGTTGGGGATTTATTCAAAACTGTACCAGCATGGCCACCACAGCATCCTGCACCAAAATGCCATCTGGTTCGAGTGTATTACTTATTTGCTTTGAAAAAATGGTACATGCTGATTCCAGATCTTTCTGTAGCTTACCACAAGTGGTCCTCGGCTTTTGGAAAAGTCTTCTGATAATTCTTTTCACTCATGTGACTAAAATCTTTCAGAGAGCACCTGGAACGTTCTGTAGTTTAGAAATTCTTCTGCAACCAATGCCATCAGTATGTTTTACAACAATAAGGTTGTAAAGGTCTTGAGAGAGCTCACTGGTTTTACCCGTCATGACATGAGACACCTTTTTATAGGCCCTCAGATGGGACTGAACCAGCTGATATTAATTTGGTCTAAGTGTCACGGTGTACAAGGTGGATTCACGCGCTGGACTCCGGGGATTGATGCACACAAGAGAATTTATTAGTGAACAATGTCCAATGAGTGTATATACAAAAGGTGAGAGGGGCAGGGCTCCGGGGGAAATCCAGGTGAACACTCTTGTCTCTCTCCAAACAATCCAAACACGAATCCACTCGAACACTCGTCACTCAGGGAACACCAGGGAAAACAGTCCAGAGGGTGAAATTCTCACAACAATCCAGCGAAGAACAGCCGTTGCTTCCTGGCTTAAATGCCATCCACACTGATGAGGCACGGGTGTTTCCTCCTCCGAGGGCGTGGGCCAAGGGCGTGAACCCATAATGAGTTCCGCCCTGGCGCGTGAGAGAGAGAGAGAGAGAGAGAGAGAGAGAGAGAGAGAGAGAGAGAGAGAGAACTAGAGAGATAGAGAGAAACAGCTGATCAGCGACCAGCTGAACCTCCAGGCCGTGACACTAAGTGGCAGGATTGATTTCTAATTATTGCGAGATTTCAGGTGGTGTCATGACTTTCCGTGCCTGCTTGTTCAATACTTTTTCTGTTTGTCATTTCTCATTATTAAAATAAAAGGCTGCACTTTGTTATCAGATTGGCATTTTGCTAAGCTACTACGCAGCTACGTTAGCTAGCACTATCAAACCTGTCAGGTTTGGCATTGTTGCATACAACATACTTTACAATGACATAAGTGGTTATGTAAATTCTGACACAATGGATTCAGAGAGAAGTATGACATGCTTAAATAAACTTCTTGGTTTTACCCGGTGAGCAAAATATGACAACACTCTGACAACATTTTTACATTTTCCAGTTGACTTGATTGAAAGTAGAAAAGATTTTTTTTGTATTTTACCACTATGGCTGATTTCATGTTAATTTGTGCCATAAAAAAGTGAATAACCAGAATCGAGAGAGAAAGAGAGCGAGAGCAGGAGTGGGTTTCATAGATAAGGAAGAAAAGAAACAAAGTTGCAGTAAGCATGCTGTGGCACTGCAGGATTTTTTTAACACACACTGCATGTATAATTATAGGATTCAATGAGAATAAAGGGCTAAATAGGGAAAGGAAAAGAAAAAGAAATAAAGAGAAGAAAGAGAGGGAAAAGAAGAGAAGAGAGGAGAAGTGCAAAGGCTGCAGGCTTTCACTTCTCTGTGAAGCTGCTTTGCCTCCAGCGATCCCTCTCCCTCTGTTTCCCTCCCTGCACCTACACTTTAAGCAGAAGGCAGGGAGTTAAAAAAGGAGAATTTTTAAATGCGCTGGCCTCCAGGCGCACCCTGCCACCAAGCACATCATGGCACAGAGACAGACAGAGAGAGCTGAATTGAGAGTGAATGAGTTTTAGAGTCAGCAGTGTGAGGAGACATATTCAGTATGGTTTAGTTTCTTTGTTAAACAAGCAAACTTTTTCCCACCTGTTGTGATTTGATCTATCTCGAGGCCACCGTTTCTTATCAAAGTACGCCAAACACTAAAAGTCAGACAGAGCATTACAAAATCCAACTTTCCAGAAATATCTCCCGTATTTGTTGCACAGAGTATTGTTGTACCAAAATGAATTCATCAATTTTATTATACAGTGTTCCAAAAATTAAAGGAAATTTCCCAGAGGTCTTCAATTGGATTTAGGTAATGTAAGCGTGGAGCCCAGTCAAGTCCTTTGACCAACGTTACAGGCAATGTTACAGACAGCGCAGCTTTCTTCGTGACTTCTTTAGACTCTTTTAC